GGCGCCCCCTAGAGGGGAAAGGCCCCGTGCCCCATTCCCTGCCCCCCTGAGCCAGCCGGTCCCCGCTCTTGCACTGCTGCTCCGCAGGACTCCTGGGTTCTCAGGGAGCCGGCAGTCACTGGGCTCTCTCTCCTCGGCAGTACCTGCTGGACCAGACCGACGTGCTGGTGGTCGGGGTGCTGGGATTACAGGGCACCGGCAAATCCATGCTGATGTCTCTGCTGTCGGCTAACCAGCCTGAAGAAGATCAAAGGTACGGGGGGTGGGAGGGGGCTTTGTGGGTGGGAGGGGGGGTAGCAACTGGGGAGGGGGCATGCTCGGGGTCTGGCACGTTCGGGGGGGGGGATGGGCGTGAATGCTGAGTGGCCAGGGCATGGGGGGAAAGGGGGAAGTTGGGGTGGGATGGAGGGGGGTAGGTGGGTGGGGGGTGGATGTGGGTGCTGGGGGGGCACCGGCAGTAGGGGCAGTGGCAAGTGTTTGGGGGGAAGGTGGGATATTGGGAGACAGTGGGGAGGTGGGCTGTTGAGGGGTGTCGGGTGGGGGATGGGCATCAAGAAGCAGGTCAAGGGGGCACATATTCTCCTTCCTCCATCCCTACTGACCCTTCTCTGTCCCCCCCCAATCCCCCCCATCCCAGGGCCTACGTGTTCCGCACCCAAAGCCAGGAGATCAAGGAGCGCGGGGGGAACCAGACCAGCGGCATCGACTTCTTCATCACCCAGGAGCGCATCATCTTCCTTGACACCCAGGTCCCTGCCCGCCCCCTTCTCCAGGGGACACCCCCCTCACGTGGCAATGGGCATGGAGATCCTGGCGCAATACTGCCTTTGTCCACCAGGGGGCATCACCACATGACTCCACCATTTGTGACTGCTGGGCCTGCCGAAGTTGGTCTGTGCCGGCCCAGCTTGTTACCCTGACGAGCTCAGTTCTCAGGACGAGGCCCCCTGGGCCGGGAGCAGTAGGGGGTCTATGTGGCACATGGGTCAACGGGGGCTGATTGGTGTAAGAGTGGGGATGGCTGACTCCCTGGCTGTCTAGCAATGGGGGATCTCTACGGGCTGTGGGTGGATTCCCCCATTGGCCAAGGCAGGGTTACGGTGGGGTGATTCAGTGTGTGTGTGTATCGCCCCCTGCTGGTGGGGATGAGCCCTGCTCCGTGTGTGTCCCTGTGAGCACCTCGCACGGCTCTGGACAGTCGGACGCTGTAACGCTCCCTGCCCCGTGTCTCCTTCCAGCCGATTCTCAGCCCTTCCATCCTGGACCATCTCATCAACAACGACCGCAAGCTGCCCCCCGAGTACAACCTGCCCCACACCTATGTGGAGATGCAGGTAGGCTACTGCCCCCCACCTCCCATCTGGCCCCAGGTCGGGCACTGGCTGGCTCACTGGGACAAGGAATGAGGAATGGGGCCTTGCGCCTCTAGGGGGCGCTGACTCCAATCCGGCCCCAGGGTGAGGGGGAAGGAGGTGGTGGGTAGTGGGATACACAGCAATGATTGGTTGCTACTATTTGGGGGGGCATTCGCTTTGCTGGCCGGGTCCTGGGGGGAGATCCCACCCCAGAGACTCCTCCTTTGACAGCTGCTCTGCTCCCCGCAGTCCCTGCAGATCGCAGCCTTCCTCTTCACCGTCTGCCACGTGGTCATCGTGGTGCAGGACTGGTTCACCGACCTCAGTCTGTACAGGTGAGAAGGCCCCTAGCAGGGTGGGGAGTGGGGCATGGGGCCATTCCCCTCTGGGGGGCGCTGGCTCCCATCCAGCCCCAGGGCTGGGACTGGCTGGCTCAGGAGGGTGGGGAATGGGACATGGGGGCCTTTCCCCTCTAGGGGGCCCCAGCTGTCTTCTAGTCCCAGGGCTGGGACCTGCTGGCTCTGGAGGGCAGGGAATGGGACACGGGGTCTTTCCCCCTGGGGGGCGCTGGCTTCCATCCAGCCCCAGGGCTGGGACTGGCTGGCTTGGGGCAGGGGGATGGGAAATGGGGCACGGGGTCTTTCCCCTCTAGGGTGCGCCAGCTCTGATCTGGCCCCAGGCTGTTTTGGGGGATGGGCTCCGGGCTCAGCAATTCATGTGTGAATCAAGTTTGCCAGGTCTCAGCCCCGTTCCCAGCAGGGACAGGGAACCCCCCCTGCCCCTCCCACAGGCACTAAATGGCCCCGGGGACCCAGGCCCCCCACTAACCGCAGCTCCCTGTGTCCCCACGGCAGGTTCCTGCAGACGGCCGAGATGGTGAAACCCTCCACACCCTCCCCCAGCCACGAGTCCACCGGCTCCTCGGGCGCCGACGAGGGCACGGAGTATTATCCCCACGTCGGTGAGCAGCTGCTGCCCCCTGTGGCACAGCGCCCCCTAGTGCTGTGCTGGGGCATCGGGACCAGCCCTGACTGCCAGGGAGAGCCCCCCCACCCTGCTCCCTGCAGCACAGCGCCCCCTAGTGCCAGCCTGG